ACAAATGTTGCAATGTCTGTATGACCTAATGAAACATGTGTCATAATCCTTGTTTTTATCTCAAGTTCCTTCCGATGGATTAAAGATTTCTAAAAAAAATTAAACAGTCACAAACTACCCATTCCACATGTCACGGACCGTCCACTTACAACTGACATTCCCGATGTGACACTGTCACCTCCCGATGTGACACTGTCCAGTCCCCTTGTCACAAACTGACCACTCCCCCTATTGACTACCCTATCCATATTTCACTTCCTAACTGCGCATTCATCACATTAATCCTGTGAGATTATTCATTATTTAAACAAAAATTTACAAAAAGCTATATAGATCTATTCTATTTATCACATAGAATACACAACTTTCTTAAAAACACTATTAAAAAAGTCATCTGAAGAACATCTTCTAAATCTTTTCATTCATTGCGAACAAAACGACAACTGAGTATTAGTATAGATAAACACATGTGACATCAGTTCTATAATCACAGCAAGATCTACACATGACATTGGTTCAATAGATCTTCACATTTGATAGTAGTTCTATAGATCTTCATAATGTGTGCTAATTGTTTTATAAATCTACACACGAGAAGCCACTATCTGTTAGTGCAACTGTCTGTTTATCTAAAACCTGTTACTGCCACTGTCTGATTATCTAAAACCTGTAAGTGCCACTGCCTGTTTATCTAGAACCTGTTAGTGCCACTGCCTGTTTATCTAAAACCTGTTAGTGCCACTTTCTGTTTATCTAGAACACCTGCCAGTGCTCGATAAGCCTGCACGATCTCGACTTTTTCTGGTGGCCGTCTGCTTATTTTTTCCCGCCTTCTGCCAGTCACTTTTTTAACTAGCGTGTTAATCTTTGACATTAGCACAACACTGTGTTGTCCTGAGAAGTCGGAGACCTAGACATGTGTCTTGAGAAGTCGGAGACCTAGACATGTGTCTTGAGAAATCGGAGACCTAGACATGTGTCTTGAGAAGTTGGAGACCTAGACATGTGTCTTGAGAAGTTGGAGACCTAGACATGTGTCTTGAGAAGTCGGAGACCTAGACATGTGTCTTGAGAAATCGGAGACCTAGACATGTGTCTTGAGAAGTTGGAGACCTAGACATGTGTCTTGAGAAGTCGGAGACCTAGACATGTGTCTTGAGAAGTTGGAGACCTAGACATGTGTCTTGAGAAGTTGGAGACCTAGACATGTGTCTTGAGAAGTTGGAGACCTAGACATGTGTCTTGAGAAGTTGGAGACCTAGACATGTGTCTTGAGAAGTTGGAGACCTAGACATGTGTCTTGAGAAGTTGGAGACCTAGACATGTGTCTTGAGAAATTGGAGACCTAGACATGTGTCTTGAGAAGTTGGAGACCTAGACATGTGTCTTGAGAAGTTGGAGACCTAGACATGTGTCTTGAGAAGTTGGAGACCTAGACATGTGTCTTGAGAAGTTGGAGACCTAGACATGTGTCTTGAGAAGTTGGAGACCTAGACATGTGTCTTGAGAAGTTGGAGACCTAGACATGTGTCTTGAGAAGTTGGAGACCTAGACATGTGTCTTGAGAAGTTGGAGACCTAGACATGTGTCTTGAGAAGTTGGAGACCTAGACATGTGTCTTGAGAAGTTGGAGACCTAGACATGTGTCTTGAGAAGTTGGAGACCTAGACATGTGTCTTGAGAAGTTGGAGACCTAGACATGTGTCTTGAGAAGTTGGAGACCTAGACATGTGTCTTGAGAAGTTGGAGACCTAGACATGTGTCTTGAGAAGTTGGAGACCTAGACATGTGTCTTGAGAAGTTGGAGACCTAGACATGTGTCTTGAGAAGTTGGAGACCTAGACATATGTCTTGATAAATCGGAGACTTACATAAGTGTCTTGATAAATCGGACACCTAGACATAAAACTCATGTGTCTTGATAAATCGGACACCTAGACATAAAACTCAAGTGTCTTGATACATCTGAGACCTAGACATAAAACTCATGTGTCTTAATAAATCGGACACCTAGACAGAAAACTGTCTTGAGAAATTGGAGACCTAGACAAAAAACTATTTTAAAAAATCTGAGACCCAGGAAAATAAAAAGTCTAGACTTATTGTTGAAGAGGTTTTTTTTTTCTTCCGGAATCACAATGAGTAAAAGCAGCTATTAATATATCACGCGTCCGATACATTTTTTTAATCTTGAAATGGCCGGACAATATCTGATTCCATATGATGTAAGAGTTTTAATATACGATGTGCTGCATCTATTTTGTTTGCCGGTTCGTCTTAGGTCAAGGATCCATCATTCGGGATGAGTGATTGGGTTATTTCAATATGTAGACATCTATCGTTTATACCAATATGTACACATCTATCGTTTATACCAATATGTTATCATTGCTTCTATCGTTTATACCAGGAGTCTCCAAACTTTTCAGTCCGAGGGCCGCATAAACTATCAAATTTCAGTTCGGGGGCCAGTTTCTTCCAGGCATGTCTTTGATTTTTCTGGGCAAAGTTCCTCAGCCATTACCAACAAAGGTTTTTTTCCGTGGACAAAAAGATCTCCGCGGGCCGGATGAGAGGACCTCGCGGGCCGTAGTTTGGAGACCCCTGGTTTAAACCAATATGTAGACATTGCTTCTATCATGTACTAATTGAAAAGTTGTATCCCTTGGTTGATACGAATAGATAGAGTTGTTTTTTTTCTTCAATAAATTAACTACCCTCCTCCTAATTGTATCGTTAATACTATTATCTCAAATTTAGATCAGCTTTCTAGCTAACATATCGTTAAACTAAAATTAAACAACGCAAGTAATTTGTCACACGCGAAAAGAAATAAAAATCTAAATAACGAAAAAAAAATGTATTGCACGCTAAAAGAAATTCTACTGATTAGGCACTTAAAATTTTTAGACAAAGTAAATTATCACATGCTAAAAGAAATTGCATTGAATTGATAACTTAAATTGAAATTTAAACGACTCAAGTAAATTTTTACACTCATAAAAAATGTATTTAATTACTTCACTCGCCCATTATCACTACAATCAGCCATGTAAATGGTAATACACTTTATAGTCGAACGTATCAAATAATTAATTCTCAGTTTTTTCAATTGCTACAACGTTTAAGTTGAATCAAATTATTTACAATTATGCGTGTCAAAAGTCTGTTTTATAAAATCATTAGCCGAGAATGTTTTTAATTAAACAATTATATTATTTTTTTTTAATTTTCTTTCTTTTTATATCTTTAGTAAATTAGATAAATCTTAAATATGATGAATTGAACATAAATGAGGTCTAGCAGAAATTAGGCGAGCTTAAAATAGAAAAGAAGAAACGTTTTGTGAATGTTTTTCTCTAGGGAAAATACTCGAATTTTTGGAATTATTCATTTTTAAATTTGTTAAATTTAATGAAGCGTTAAAATTACTTGTTTATATCTGCATTAATATTAAATCAAATTCCATGCTCACATTCTTTGTAGTACTACAAATACTTCTCTCTAAAGGCGTAGCTAGGTGAGGGCGGGTGGGGCGGGTGGGGCGGAAGCCCCTTGTGCTGACCCGGGTACGCCAAAGCGGGTAGGAAATATTTTTTTTAGAGGCGTTAGGCCTATGTGTTTATACACAGTCAAAGTTTTAGAAAACAGACAGCTACACAATTTTACAAGATGATTTTATTGTGTTCTTTTTACTTTCTCGTGTACACAGAGTATAAATAAAGTGCTGTAATCGTGCACAAAAATTAAATTAAATGTTGACAGTTTTCGCCGTTTTCCACCTCGTTACTTAACGTATATAGAATATAAAGAATGTATCGTAAATGTGCAAAAATCTAAATCGAGATTTTTACAAATTGTGACGTTTTACAACGTTCCGATGCCGGAAATAACTTAGTTTTGCAATATCGTCCTACTGTGTATGTGTGTCTGTATGTCTTTGTGTCTGTGTATCTGTATACACCATAACTTTAGTAACGTTTTAGTTATGTTGACTAAATTTCATATATTTTATTACATGTGGAGATTGTTTTTATCTTTTAAGCAATTTCCGGTAACCGGAAGAGATACGTACTCAATTTCCGATCTCTTAAAAGCCGAAAACTTAAGTACTATTAAAGTTTAGTAGATGAAATTTCATATACAAGTATTAGACTGAATGCGCAAATTTCTTTCAACTTTTCAACGATTTCCGATAATCGGAAGTTGTAATTGATTCTATTTTCGATGGAACACAATAAGTTGAGAACTGTTTCAGTAAGTTAGGCTAAAAAATTGTGTTTCTTTCAATGTACATAGTACAGAAAAAAAGACGATTGTTTGATTGCTGTGACGATTGTTTGATTGCTGTAAAATCCATGCCGCATCTGTTGTATTGAAGCGAAATTAATACCACCCAATATGAAGTTGTTTTCTTACCACAACGAGAGTCAATAAAAATAAAAATAAAGTTTCTATTTATTAAGTTAGATATCTCAAGATGCCAGCTAAAATTTATAGCATTATCCCATTATCCCAGAAGTTTCTGTTATCCCTTTATCCGAGTCGATATTCTATCCGTGTACCCCCACCCCTTATCCCTATTGACATTTTGAACGTGTTACACCCTTATCCCAAGTGGCATTTAGATCGCGTTACCCCCGCCATCCCAGATGACATACAGATGAACCATGACAGGCTCACGGCGCGCGCATAGCCCGTGCCACACGCCCCTCACTCACGCGTCCCCCGCTACACCGTGTCCCCCACTCACGCGCCCCGCCACACCGTGTCCCTCACGCACGCGTCCCCCGTTCGCGCGACGCTGCTGTGAGTTTCTTATACACTGCGGCAAACACCTCACCCCCCACCCCCGGTTTTTTTCCACACAAATTTACACGTTTTTAGTTCATTACTTCAACAGAAAATAAAAACCCACGCCCCCGAGTTACCTAGAGCACCCCTCCCCTCCCTCCCTCCAGCCCCACCCCCCGCCAATGATATAAGACTACAGAATCTGAGGTGCGAGGGTCAGAACTAGGGGGCAGCGAATCATATCAGTCTCTTCACACAAACATTCTTTCCTTAACACCACCCATTCGGAAAGCCACTAGGCCGCGTGGTTAAAACTCTAAAACACCCAGGGAGGAACATTTTCTAGAACATTCTAAACATTTTATTTATTTATTTTAGGCTAGCCCAATTTTAGTAGCCCTAGGTTGTAAAGTTTTGGACTAATTGGTGACGTCACAGAAAGGTAAGATAATACTTAGGAATAAGTTTAAATTTTGTTTAAAAAATGTTGTCGTTAGGGAATGTTTCTATTTGTTTAGTTCAGTTCTTTTCTTCTTTTTTTTTCCTTGGAAATTCTTTTTTTTTAATGCGAAGTTTGTTGTTTTAAATATAATTGATCACATAAAATATTTTTAAAATATGTCTTTAAACGCATAATCATATAGTAAATGTGTTTGAAAACTTATTTCGTTCCTGTAAAAGTGGAAATGATTTTTGAATTCCAACCAAAGCGATTGAGTAATTTTCATGTGACATACAGTAATAAGTACAGCTTTCAGATCCCCTTCACACAAAAAAACGACATGTTTCTTTAGGGCAACTAAAGATTATTTTTACAAAGGTCTTTGTCTGAAAACTTAATTAAATTAATCAGCGAGGAACATAAAACTTAATTTACCGAATACAAAATTCTGCTATCTTTGTGTCATGAGTTATGTCCCTCTCCCTAATGATTTGCAGCGGATTAAGGTCCATTAGACAATTTTTAACTCACTAGTGGGGTGTATTACTTTTATTTATTTAATTAGATTTTTGCCCGAATGAGCCAAGTGTTTAAAACATGATTAGCTGTCGGTGTTAAATTAGCACACATTTGTTGTTGTTGTTTTTTATGTTAACTCGATAATTTTTCTATTCTGGAGTCTTTCTATTTAGACGGCTTTAATTTCATGTTTAGGAGACTTTCTTTATAGCAGTGATGGAATTAGAAAAAAAGACACCCCCACAAAAAATATATTTCGGGCCCTTTATATATATATATATATATATATATATATATATATATATATATATATATATATATATATATATATATATATATATAATATATAATATTACTAGACTGTCTCGCTAAATTTTAAATAAATTATTAAATTAGTACCTTAAACTATTTCATTGTATAGTAGGCTCCATCCATCGTGAGACAACAAATCACACAAAAATGTGCTCTATCTAATTTCGGCCTGATAAAATTGTGTTTTAAAAACCTCTAGGCCAATATTTTATTTATCCCGCCTAAAATTGCGAAAAGAGTCCTTTAATATTAATTGGCAAGCCGGTTTTTAAACACGGAAGTTTGATATGTTATTTAAATACGGAAGTTTGATATGTGTTTTGGTTTCCCGTCTTTGTTCTATTATGATTTTTTACATTTGTTAATAATTTGGAATACCCTTTTTTTTAAATTTAGTATGCCTTTTTAAAAATAATAATTAAGAGAATAGATGGTATTTAAATTTACTTTAATTATTTGAATGAGCGTAAATTATGGAAGAGGTTTGAGGGTTTGCCTATCTTCCACTTGACGTTACAGCCAGTTCATGCAGTTATTTTTTTGTTTTTTGTTTATGGAACTGTGTGTGTGTTAGTTACTGCGGAACAATTACTGCTGCAGTAGATCTTTTTTTTTACAAAATTACTAGGCAACATTCTATTTAGACGACTTTTTATCTAGACAACTTTCTATCTAGACAACTTTCTTTCTAGACGCCTTTCTATTTAGACGACTTTCTATTTAGACAACTTTCTATCTAGACAACTTTCTTTCTAGAAGCCTTTCTATCTAGACGACTTTCTATTTAGACAACTTTCTATTTAGCTACTTTCTATTCTATCTAGACAACTTTCTTTCTAGAAGCCTTTCTATCTAGACGACTTTCTAATTAGACAACTTTCTATTTAGCTACTTTCTATTCTATCTAGACAACTTTCTTTCTAGAAGCCTTTCTATCTAGACAACTTTCTATTTAGACAACTTTCTATCTAGTTCGTACAAGGAGCGCTCTTATACAGCTTTACTTTATTAAATATATATATGATGCTTGATAGTGGAGTGGGAGAGAAGGAATAAGTAGCTAAGGATCAATGAACTATTGAATCAAGAACATTGAGTGCAAGTCGCTGTAATATCTAGTCCAGCAAGTTGACTGTCCGGTCCTGTCCTGTGTTAGTAGTTGGACTGTCCAGTAGTTGGACTGTCCGTTAGTTGGACTGTCCGGTAGTTGTGATGTCCGGTAGTTGGGTTGTCCGGTAGTTATGATGTCCGGTAGTTGGACTATCCGGTAGTTGTGATGTCCGGTAGTTGGGTTGTCCGGTAGTTATGATGTCCGGTAGTTATGATGTCCGGTATTTGGACTGTCCGGTAGTTGGACTGTCCGGTAGTTGGACTGTCCGGTAGTTGGACTGTCCGGTAGTTGGACTGTCCGGTAGTTGGACTGTCCGGTAGTTGTGATGTCCGGTAGTTGGGTTGTCCGGTAGTTATTATGTCCGGTAGTTGGACTATCCGGTAGTTGTGATGTCCGGTAGTTGGGTTGTCCGGTAGTTATGATGTCCGGTAGTTATGATGTTCGGTATTTGGACTGTCCGGTAGTTGGACTGTCCGGTAGTTGGACTGTCCGGTAGTTGGACTGTCCGGTAGTTGGACTGTCCGGTAGTTGGACTGTCCGGTAGTTGGACTGTCCGGTAGTTGGACTGTCCGGTAGTTGGACTGTCTGGTAGTTGTGATGTCCGGTAGTTGTAGGCATGACTGACTAAGATTCTGTCTGTGTGAATGTCTGTAGTTAGGTCTGACCCGTCTGTCTGTCTGTTTGTCTGTCTGTCTGTTTGTCTGTCTGTCATATTCTGTCCGTCCAACGGATACCTGCAACAATTCATCAAACTTAACGATCAAAAAATGAATTATTCATGACGGTGTGAAATAAAACTCTATTATACACAGTCGGGGGCCACTTTGTTGCATGTGTGTAGTGGTAAAAGTCAATCACCTTAGGGGCAGGGGCGGGGATTCTGTATCACCTTACGTGTGGGGGTGACACCCTTTATGTTCTCAGCAGGTGATACAGCATCATGCTGTGTTTGGCCATTTGCTTGACTTTGGCCGTGTGGTTAACTACCTAATTGTGACACAAGTCAACTGTTGTTTCTTTTTTTCAACTTTAGAATAAACATCGATTTCAATTAATACCGTGCCGGTACCGTTTGATACGATATCTTTTACTGCTGGCTGATGTGCCCCCCCTCTCCACCCCACCTATAAAGCTGCCTTGTACCCCCTATAACAGCGACCTGTAACCTTGGATCTACCATATGCCCCTCCACCCCCACCCCCATAATGCTACATGGTGCCCATACATAAGCGACCTGTAAACCTTGATCTACCATATGCCCCTCCACCCCCACCCCCATAATGCTACATGGTGCCCATACATAAGCGACCTGTAAACCTTGATCTACCATATGCCCCTCCACCCCCACCCCCATAATGCTACATGGTGCCCATACATAAGCGACCTGTAAACCTTGATCTACCATATGCCCCTCCACCCCCACCCCCATAATGCTACATGGTGCCCATACATAAGCGACCTGTAAACCTTGATCTACCATATGCCCCTCCACCCCCACCCCCAGAATGCTACATCAGTGACGTATAACCCTGGCCCTAAGGTTTTCCTCCTCTTTAATCTCCCGTCTGCAAGTTTTCAAACATTTTTTTTGTCAGCTGCCAATTGTTCAGGCTGGTGTATACACAAGCTTGTCCCTAGGCCCCAGCCCACAACATGGCGTCTCCCCATACCCCCCCCCCCCCACCCCACAATTAATTAACGCAAACTCGATCAGGAAGAAATAAAACAGGATATTACGTAATTGTGCATTATGTTTGTCTTACTTAACAGACCGTCTGTGCTTTAGAGAAACATATTGAACTCTTTATTTTTTTCCCTTTACCTCCGTTCTTCACATTCATGTAGGCGAGTGGGTGGGTGTTTATTTTTTAATTAGGTTTCAAATTGGTTGGTCGAGTGATTTTAAAAGGTAGGTTGTATGACCATTTTTTTGTCCTGCAAATTTAAGCTGAATATTGTTCCTTTCGAAACCGATGTATATATATATATATAAATATAAATTATACGAGCCGGCCCGCGGCATAACATACGCCGCTATTTAGTTGTTGTTTTTTCTACTTTTCAGAAATTCATAATTTGTGAATTCGACAGTACCAACGCTGACACTGAAAATATTTCTTTAAAACACTATAAGTGGCTCGTTAAGGGCCATACCCCCATTCCTCCCCGCCCGCCCCCCCCCCCCCCCCCCCCAAACGTTTAAAATCGTTTCAAACTAAATTATCTGCCCCTAATAGCGTCACTAAACCCGACTCCACGAAGGTAAATATAGCGTAAACCACAGCTCACTAAGACCATGTCGGGGTGGGGATGGTAGGGAGCGCGTTTACAGCTTGTTTTCTAGCGTCTCCCAGAAGAGAATTATATATATATATATATATATATATATATATATATATATATATATATATATATATATATATATATATATACATTTTTTTTGTTGGTGAATCTAGGCACCAAAAATGTCATTAAACTTGACATCTATCTACTTTATTCCAGCCCCCCCCCCCTATCCCACCCACCGACTGTTTGCTAGTAGTGTTGACTGTAACGTAAAGTACGTGTGTCGTAATTTCGTTAAGATCTCGCGACACTCGTCTCAGCCTACGAGATCTCGCGAGACTTAGGACAATAGACGCCCCCCCAACAGCGAGCCTTCTCCTGTTAGATTCAATCCAACATAGGTCTAGACATCCGCTAAGCCACGTCACTATCCATGGACACTGGATAAACAGGTTAGATAATTAATGAAGCGTTGTGGAGGGCGGCGATTTAATTGTCTTAGATAATCCCAGGATTCCTCCACCACGATGGAACTGCTCCACTTGAGGCACCGGAAGTGGGGCCAGATTACTCCAATTTCAATGTATTTGTTGAAGGGGCGCTCACCAAATCAGAATTACCGGGGTCACCCCAACGCCAAGGGAAGCAAACAGTGGCACGCGAACCTCATACTTAAACACGGCGGTGCGGGGGCCATTCCGAGGGCTTTCTTAGAATTACCCGCCCCTAGTTCCCTTTTTAATGGTTCTGTCCCCTTATTTAATTTTTTGTT